CAAAGTCATCAAGTATATAAAGGAATCCAAACCATTGGTTACTATCATGGCACCCACGTGCACACCTTATGGACCCATGTCAAATATGGTTAAACATGTCAATTGGGAGTCATGGAAAAGAAGTTTGGATTATGCACGACCTCATGGAAAATTTTGTGGACGTGTTGCATTACTTGTTGAAAAGATGGGTTTATTCTTTATAACAGAACAACCACATCCATCAAAGCTTTGGGAAGAATCCGAGTGGCAGGAAGTATTAAAATTGTCTACTACTGTCAGCATAGTGATTCACCAATGCATGACAGGCCAAAAGGGCCCTGATGGAGGACCAGCTAAGAAACCCACGAGATTCATCGCTAACCATAGGACTCTCTTAGAACCATTGACCAAGTATGTTTGTGATGGAAGTCATGAACATGAATTACTCGAAGGAGGGAAAGCTAGCCATTGTAAACTGTGGGCATGGAAACTAGCTACATCTATAGTAGACGGAATAACCAACCTTCGAGAACTGGTCAACTCCAGAGAGTATGCCTATCCAACTATCGGCACGAGCACTGATGCATCCGAGCCAAGCAGTGAACCCGCTGAAGATCCAGATAAGAGACCAGCAGTTTGTCCAGGATGCAAAGGACATCTAAATAGGAATGATCCACGGCACACTCGTGACCCTGACACATGTAAATATCCTTTAGATGCCCCCGTAATATGGACATGCCCTGGATGTAAGAAAATGAAACCTGCTGGTGACAGTTCACATACTTATGCCCAAGGTGAGTGCAAACACATGACCATAGCTCACCGTAAGGGCATTCATCGAAAAGGCCACCATCCCAGAGAACCAGCCAAGCGGGCTGATGAACTTCCGGTTCAAGACTCTCAGGCCCAACTGCCTGATGGAACCGATTTGGGAGCCGGTGAAGGAGCTGCCAGTAGTTCAGCCGTAGGGGCAGCACCTCCAGTAGAAGATAGGATTGTCCCCTACAATCCAGATGACGGCGAACCCGCCGAGAGCAGACTCCGAGGCCCTTATCGAAAGCTCCGGGATGCGGGCGCAGGCAGTGAACATCCATCTGACTGGTCTAGATTTGATGTCACTCATAGTCTCAAAGACTTGAGAAGTAGTCATGAACCAACAATTATTCGAACACTCAGGAAGCTGCATTTAAGATGGTGGCATGCAGGACCCACCAACATGACTAGCGTTTTAAGAAATGCAGGCATACCTGAAGAAGTCATAAGCTACATTCCTGACATCATTTCAACCTGCCGTGAATGCCGCAAGTGGGCACCAAAAGCCAAAGATACTCAACCCTCTGTTTCTTTGGCCATGAACTTTAACGAAGTAGTAGAAACCGATTTGATGTTCTATCGAGAATTTGTTGTACATCACTTTATTTGCAGAGCGACAAGATGGCATGTTGCTGTGGAAACTCCTAACAAAACAGAAGACCAATTAATCACGAACTTCCACACAGCATGGGTATCCATCTTTGGCCCACCTCAACAGCTTGTCACCGACAGTGAAGCTGGTTTGACTTCATCCAGCGCTGAAGCAAGATTGAAGCGTATGGGTGTAGTCTTAAAGGTAAGAGGCAAAGACCAACACGCTCGGTACATCGAGAGGAGAGGAGCGATCTTAAGACATGCAATGCATGTGATGGAATCCCAAGCCATAAGAGAAGGTATTGACATCAACTTCCCATCATTACTTGCCAATAGTGTCTTTATGGGTAACGCACTAACACATGTAGGAGGAGTTACACCCTACCAGGTAGTGATGGGAAGACAGCCAGCTTGCCTTCCGCCAATCACTGACAACGCCGGCTTGGAAGAGAGAGTTGATGCTCGCATCCGCGAACTTGCATTGCAGTCTATGGTTTCAGCCACGAGTGCATCTCGTATCAAAAGAGCTTTGGGGTCCAAAACTGCCTTGTCGGGAGAAAACCGTTTTGCAAAAGGAGACTTGGTAGAGTTATACCGAACGCCCCCGAGCAAAGACATGAGTGGCTGGACCGGTCCATATGAAGTCGTAGAGTGTGTAGCCGCAGATGGCATTGTAGCTCTTAAAATAAATGGACAGACCAGACCATATCGCCTCCAAGATGTACGCCCAGCACAATACTATGCAACAGTTTCTCTTTATGGACACACCAATGCGGATATCTGTTTGAACGCCATGGAATACATCCATCAATTTCTGAATGAACTCCCTGATGGCCGTGTTGAAGTTTTTGGGTATGTAAATGACAGACTGACGAGAACCACCAAGCGATGGCCCAAAATTTCAAAAGCACTAGAGTTCATCATAACAAACTCCCTCCAGATGGATGATATCTGCACTGTAAGAATTGGACATAAAATCAAACAGCTGCAAGATTTGAACGACAGATACCGCAATGTGATTTTCAATTGGAACATGAACAACCCAGATGCAATGCTCATACATGTTGCCGATCATCCGAGACAAAACATCAACAAAATCTTTGGCCCACAGGAGCCCTTCGTCGCAACAATGCAGTGTTTTATGCTAGACAGAGACGTCGGGATGACACTTGATGATTTTGAGGAGAGAGTGCTGGACCGTCCGTCGGCTATGGCGCATCTCGATCGAGAGATCGAGGTGGGTCGTAGTGATGGGCGGCTCAGTACGATCGCCGAGGAATCTCAAGTTAGCATTGACTCTCCAGAAGTTGAAGCATTGTACTTGCAACACTTCGAAGGTGCTCCCAAAGAAATCCAAAGTGATCTCAAGGAGCTGTGCTGGGTAGTTCTCAACGAACCAGTAGATGAAGCAGCAGATGTGGAGATTAAAGATGATTGGTGTTATTTTACAAGTCCAGACAACCATAACGATTGGGATTCAATACCACCAACAGTTAGTCCAGATTTCGATGAGTATGATCACACTTTTGAGTTTGATGAAAATGATGAACCATTCCTTGAAGTGTTGATCTCAGAAAACATCACTGAATGCTTCCAAGACAGTCGCGACGTGTCTAAACCCAATTTAATGAAAGTATTCCTTAATGCAGAAGCTAAGAAAGAAGTCATTGAGAGAGATACTGACTTGCTCACAACTAAGGAATTAATTGACCATCGCAAGGAAGTTGATGAAGCAACAGTTAAGGAGTATGAAACCTGGCATAAATATGGTTGTTTTGAACGAATCCCCAAGAAGAAGTGTAAAGTTCTGATCGACGCCAAGCTAGTTTCTAAGTGGAAGTATGTAGACGGGAAGCGCATCATCAGGATGCGGTTGGCCTTGCGAGGGTTCAAGGAACCGCAAACCGAAGATGAGGTGAACTTTTCGGCCACTGCGCAAAGAACATCCCAAAAGATTCTAGCCAGTGAAGCAGCCTGCCATAAAGATTGGAGTTTTGTCGCTGTGGACATAAGTAAAGCATTTCTTCAAGGGCTTACCTTTTCCGAGATGAACAAGTTGACTGGAGAGCCCGAGAAACACATAAGCTTTACCGTCCCGGCAGGAACAGCCAAACATCTCAGACGGATCCCAGGATATGAGGATTTTGATGAGCGAACGGAAGCTCTCAAATGCTTGAAGCCTGGCACTGGCTGTAGAGACGCTCCCAGAGCATTCAACTTGAGGCTAATCAACATCCTCAAGGAATTAGGGTTCCGAGCATCTTTGTATGACCCCCAATTGTTAATGTTACATAAGAAAGAAACCCTAGTCTTAGCCATAACCGTTCATGTAGATGATATTAAAATGGCAGGTATGAAATCAGAATTAGATTCTTTAGTTAAAACCCTGGAAAGGCACTTTGGGAAATTGACTTATCAAGAAAGTGAATTTACAAACTGTGGTATATGTCATAAAAGACTCCCAGATGGAACCATCACTCTTGATCAGACAGAATATCTTAGTGCATTAAAACCTATAAACCCAAAACACTACGCAAATCTCCAGAAGGACGCACCATGCCCCGAGCACCTCAGAGCGCTGTATTGGAGCTTGTTAGGAGCCGTTGCCTATTCCGCCCTAACACAGGCGTGGGTCTTAGTCTACATAATCTCCCTCCAACGTGTAACTCAGAACCCCACTGTTACACATGTCAAAAGACTGAATGCACTTACCCGAGAGCTTCAACGTCGTCCCCAGAAATTAGAGTATAGCTCAATGACTTGTAGCAGAGTTGTTGAGCTATATTCTGATTCAGCATTCTCCAGAGAAAATGACAAGGGATACGCTTTGAGAGGAGCAGTATACCTTCGAATGGGCACTGATGTGAGAGGAGTAAAGAGATGCCATTTGATTGAGGCCGTTTCTCAATCTCATAAGCTCGTGGTGCGCAGCACATTCGCCGCTGAGCTGTTGGCACTCACAGCATCCGTTGATCAAAGTTTTATAATTATAACTACCCTTCATGAAATATGTTTCGGACCCCTTAGCCCCCAATCCAGCATAAATTTAAGAGAAAATGGTGGTTACCTTATCGAACTTTATGTCTGGATAGACGCCAGGTCCGTTTTTAGTGCGGTGGAAAATGAAAATTTCAAATACCCAACGGAAAAGTCACTACTCTCTCATATCTCATGGATTAAGCAGTTGACCACCTCGAAGATCATTCGCATTTTAGGTTGGGTGGACACACGCGACATGATAGCCGATGGAATGACCAAAGGTTCCATCGATCGGTCGCAACTAATTAGTGCAATGAAGGGGTACGTACGAAGACTACACCCCGCTGAATTCATGAAGACCAGAGGGACACGTCCTCTGGCAAGCACAGATACTGAAGTTTGAGCTCGAGCCAGTTACAACATCTTACCAACTTACAGGAGAACACCCGACTTGAAAGGTACATGATCTACCATGCCTCAGGTACATTGTTATCCATGTAACTGTTCTGGCTCTAGAGCTCGACCTAGGTAAACACAAGACTTCGTCACAAGAGGACAGAGGAAAACAGACATTTGCGGAAACAGTACTTCTTTGTCACCTTAGTTCCTCTATTTTTCGAGTCACTGGACACGAGGTGGCCACTTCAGCTTGTGCAGCCTCAGAGCCAAGATCGAGCGAAGCAGAGTCCAACGCAGATCTGCTCGGGTGAAAGAGGAAATAAGAGGAACAACGACAGAGCGGCACGAGATGATACGAGATGTGTGCCCCATGGGGCGACGCGAAGTTCGTGGAGCTCTGGAGAGTTTCGATTTGATGCTATGACCTCCTATGATGCCATTGCATGCCATTGAATGCCGAATGCCACAGACCGCTCCCCGCATCGAAAATCTTCGAAAAATCTTTAGTCGAACTTGTGAGAGCGCGTTCTGGCGTTTGCTCCGGGAGTGCGATGGTGGTCGCTCAAGATATGCATGTATCTTTGCCCGCTACTGCTACATTGCTTCATTGGCAAACCCAAACCAGTCGCAAGAAAATCTGCCTCTTACTCAAAATCTTTGGTGCCAGCATTTTCTTTTCTATTACTGAGTGAGCTGACCGGATCCTTGAGCCTAATGCATTCTAATTACGGGTTGCCAGGTGGCATGGCTCTTCTTGCTGACCAAAGTGGCCAAAAGACCAGAGCTCTGCAACTTGTTTGCAACCCAGTGGTCCGTCCATGTCCATGGCTCAGGAGACTCAGGAGACTCAGCTAGGATTCAAGAGGGACGAGCGTCACTGCAGAAACTTCCACAAGCAGTTGCACCCCAAAAAGTGGTGTGATGAGTCTCGAAGAGACTTCACCAGAATTGTTCCACAAGTCACAAGACTGTTCATGTCAATGTTGTACAATGTAACACCTGTTCACCAAGGATAGTGAGAGACATGCAAGCTGGCTCTTTGAATGCATCTTGAGTTTCATGACCAACTCACCACACACACACACAAATCTACTTTACCACCTGTGACTCTTGAATCATTTTTGACCTGAACCACACTACATCGATCATTGTTAGTTTGTTTTCTTTGCTGCGTTCGACGAGTCATGTTTTCTTGACTGTGTCTATGTTGTAGAGTGGCTTCAGGTCCAAAATCAGCATTGGCGGCACAACTTCACCGTCATGGCTTGCAGGATCTTGGCGCGAGGGATGTTCGCCCACAAATTTTAACTAGTCTTCTGTATCTTCTGTAGTCATCAAGCCTCATCAAGCAGGTCATTTTTGAACAGACCCTTTCATGCAGGATTTTGTCGGTTGGGAGGTGGGAGACAACAGGGCTAGGGTAGGGGGTTGGAAGTTGTTTGTTGTTTTTGCAGGGTTCCGTTAAGGCTTATGTTGCGTGTAAGAACCCAAGCAGAACGAGCGGCGATGCTGACGCAAGGCTTGTGGAGAATAGCGTGCAAACGTTACGCTTGCTCATTGTTTTGGATGTTTTCCCCAGGGTATGCCAAACAAGGCAGGTCCCAGTCAGCCCAAGGTTGCAGAGTTCCAAGGTGCACGGTACTGCGTGGTACTACCAGGTTCTAAGGTCGCTTCCCAAGGTTTAAGGCAAGGTTTATCAAGGTTCCAATGTTGCAGAGGTGTTTCAGAGGTGCATCCATCAGTTTTTTTTTAATGATCATGTTGGATCTCAGACGCGTCGTCTTTGATCCGCAAGAGAAATGCATCAGGGATGAGAATTTTCGAGACTGTGGATTGTGAGCATCCTGAATTGGAGCAAGCAAGACAGAGCCAAACATTGATTTCGAGAGATAGATTCTCCGAATAGGACCTCGCCCCACTAACTGTGCGGAAGACTTCTGAACTGGGTATCGTCCTCAGATCAGATATCCTCAGAACAAACTTGCAAGATGTGGCAAATTCTGGACGCTCGAATCAGGCAAGCTCCTGCACGGCTCCAAGCGAAGGTGGATCGGGAAAGTCGCCAAAAAGATGAACAAAAAGATAAACAAGGTATAAGTTATAACAAATCGACGCCCGCGTTTGTCAAAGAGACGTTGACGTCAAAATAAATCAGCCAGCTTGAAACCGCACGGAGGATGATGACTCACGTAGCCACTGGACCCTGGGTTCTGCAACTCGTCTGATGGCAGAGGTTTCCACAAGTGTAGTGACTTCCACTTTGCCTTGTAAGTATTCACGTCCTGGTCTCTGCGAGGAAACATGCACTTGCAAGAGGAGATGCAGAAGGTGTCACGCCCTTCAAGGTTCGGTGGTTCATAGTGCCATAGTGTTTGATATGATTTCAAAATATTTCATACGTAGATAACCGTAGATATGTAGTTCACGTTAATCGCATGTGACTCCGTGTGACCCACAAACGTTGCTCTTAACTTCTCCATGGACGGTGGTGTCTGTGCTGTTGCAGGATGCACAGTCTTTACTGGCCTTCTGGGAATCCATGCCAAAGTCAACAAGATGCAGCCCCTCGAATCAGATTGTTACATCTGAATCTGAACATACACACATACACACATGCACACACACACACACAAACACATGTACACCATAGACACAGACACACACACACACACACTTTGGTAAACTCCATAATGGAGAGGGTGAAATGAGATGAAATGATAACCGTCATGTCGTGTTGTTACATTAGCATGTCATGTCATGTCATGGCATGTCGGCATGGGTGGTTTTTGGCTTGGCCACCTTGCCATTTCGGATGCAGGTACGTTTTCACGACGACATAGATGGGTCTTCGTTGGCCCGTGCCATCTATGCGTCCACGGGCCCCCTGCTTTTCCCTTTGATTCAGGGTTTCTCACACACAGCAAGCCACTAGGGCACGATGTTTCCATTCCGCTGCTTGTTCTCTTAGATCCAAGGTTTCCACTTAGACGTATATCAAGCCGCTGGACACGATTTTTCCAAGAACAACTTCCCTCGGTGTGGTCGTTTTGGACTGAATGCGAAGAAAATGACCCCTCAGCGCTGTTGGTCTTGTGTCCCATATGCCGAAAACCAAATTACAAACAAACCAAACTTTTTTGGAGTTGAAACTGAACGGATAAGACTGGTGGTTTGAAGTGAATATATTAGGTATAAAATCAAGTCTCCTGCTTGACCAAAGAACCAATCAGCAAGTATGCCGAAGAAGCAATGTCGGTTTGTAGATCTGTGTCGTCTGCGTCGCCTGGTGGTGGATCTGTGCTTCTTGCGTGTGGTGCGAGATCGTGTACGGCTGTGCTTGTTGTGACTCAGTGGTGGAGTTGAAGCTGTAGTGGTTGGAAATTGCTGTGAAAATGGCGTGGCTGGTACTGGTTGTACTAGTGTTGTGCTTGTTGACTGTGGTGTAGACTGGTAAGTGACGAATGATCCATATTGTGGTGGTGAGAGCTGAAGATTGGGTATGGCTGCATTGTAATGTGGTGGTGGCTGAAGACATGGCATGGCTGTGCTGTGATGTTGTGTGTTGAAAGCATAGAGGTTGTGTAAACGCAGAGTTGGCAAATGGTGCTTGTGTTGGCTGTGGGACGGTGTGTCCCATAAGTTGTTGTGGTTGTTGTTGTGGAGTTGGAGCAAAAGGCTGTCTGAAAGCTGCAGTGGCACACTGTGGTTGCATTGAGTGTGGTATAGTGTGTCCGGCTGGATCATGTTGTTGTGGAGTCTGAGAGAATGTTGGTAGAAAGGTGCTGATGCTTGTGTGTTCTGTGATGCTTGTGTGTTGCACATAAGTCGTCGTCGAAGCTGAGCGTAGAGCCGGTGTCCGATTCCCAAATAAGTGGTGCGTAGTGCTTGTCGTAAGTGTGGTGTTGAGTGTTGTTTTGTGACTTGTCGTTGTAAGATAAACGGGTAGTTGAGTGGTGGACACCACTTTTGGATGATGTAGCTTTCCAGCGTTCGTGTTTGTAATGTTGTATTGGTGGGCAACAACGGCAATGCGACAAATTGATGATAGTTGTTTTGGCTGCAAAACCAATGGAGTGCCAACTTGCATGACACAGGTTGTGCTCGTTTTAATTGTCTGAGCTTGCGTTGTCTGGTGTTCTGACGGTCGTGTGGCGTGTGTATGGTACTGCCGATGTAGTGTTCTGTGCTGGAAAGACGAATGTTGAGTCCCGATATGACAACTGCATGAAGAAGTATATATACAGTGTTGGATTGACAGAACATTTGTTGCAACTGTACAAAAGTGCGAACAGACTTTAAACATGTTCTGTCAAATCTCCGATTCCATTTTCGACATGATTGTTGATGAACCTGATTGGTACACCAATGAAGAAAACAAAAACCAACTGCAACACGTAGGAATGTTCGATAAGCAACAGTGTCATAGAAATCGTCAGGTGGAAAATGTTGTAAGAATCCGAAAAACACAACGCATGCCGCCGAAAACTGTACATGATCCGGATCGCCGCGGTCTAGTCACTCTAGTATCTCTAGTTGAGTGACCGCAAACAGCGGCAGCTTGTAGAGCTCCTCATTGCGCGCCTTTGCCGCCAGCGCCACCGGCAAACCAAGCGATGCTGCTTTGTCTGCAAACGTGCTTTGCTCGGCTTTTGGGATGTTCTTCATAAGTTGATGCAATGTGCTCAATGCCTCCTGAAGGGCTGCTTGGTGTTGTTTTGGAACTGGCTGTTTTTTAATCCAAGCGTCCACTGTTTTGGTTACGAGTGTGTGCGGTGCGGCTGTGGTGAAAGGACGTGTGGTGTTTGTGCCTGGTAGATTTTGGAGCTATCCTGTAGGTCGGTGATTGTGGTTTGTCGAGGAGCATCACTTACACTGCGAGGAGTGGTGGTGTGTGCTGAGGTAGTAGTGTTTTCCGCACCGCTTGCTTTGATGCCCATGTCCATCCAATTGGACCATCCCATGTATGCCAATTGACGTAGGTGGATACTTTCGATGGGTTCGGCCTGCATGTTGGTACCTTTGGCTCCAAGCTGTGGATGTGATTTGGCGTGGAAACGTCAAGCCATACTGGTGTTTGGTGTCAAAGTGTTCATTGTCTGGCTGGAAACTGCTCGGTAAGTTGCGGTCGTACCGCTTTGTGCCTTGTGGGCTCGGTGGTTCGTTCCAATGCTGGTGTTGTGTGTGTGCTTGAAATGCTCTTGGTGGTGTGTTGACTTGGTATTGTTTCGAATGCCAAGAATCATACGGTCTCATGCTGCCGCGCCACGAGGTCATGGTTGCACTCAAACAACGGAAAAAAAACGTGAAGGTGTCTTGATGATTGCGATAATATTTACTTTTGAGCACGGAGATTGCTATCAGAAACAAAGTCCGAAACAGAGATTGCTATCAGAGACAACATCCGAAACAAAATTGGAACAATGGATGAAATTAGGCAATTAGGATTTGATAACATCAACAATGTTAACACATGTGACGTTTAGAATTACAATGGGTGACGACATGTTGGCAAGACTCTTCAAAACAGTTCCAAACGGCTTGGTGGAAGTACACTGTACATCGGCTCTTTTTGTTGGTTCCGCTGATATGTTCTATGCCACGTGTCACCAGGAAGATTTCACAAGGGATATGATTTATATCACAAGGACACATTATATTTATAGGAAGGTGGAGATTCTTGAAAATTAATAAATTCGATAAAAATGGCATATCATATTGTAATATAAACGGAGGTGAAACTGGCGTATCAGCAGCCTCTCATTTGCACGTCTGTCGGCAGCAGCTGCGGCTCGCCAAACTCATCTTCATGCTCAAGCATGTGCTGTACTGGTGTGGAGAAGTTTGGATCAGGCTTAAGGATCCAAATGCTGGAGATGTGTGCCAGTGTTGAGTGAATGCACCAGCGGCGATCCCGTGGTCTGTGGACTATGCCGTGAGTGTCCACTTCTTCTTGTTCGGCCCATCCAGATTCGTTTGTGGCATGTGCCCAGTGGTAGTAGGCGTTGCCTGCTTGTGATAGTGATGTTGTGGGGTTGCGTGGCATGTTTTGTAAGTGTAGTTGCCACATTCTGAATTGTTGGTGCTGGTGAAATGTGATGTGGGTAAGTGTGTTGTTGATAGGCATGCCGGTTGTGACCATGTACTTTGCTAACGTTGTGGTGATGTCTTCTTGTGGTAGGTCGATGCCTGCTGGAAATCGTGTTTCCAACCAAGCTGTCATGTCACGTACACTTTTGTCCCGATCTGATAAGAATCGGAAGTATACTGACGGTGCTGTGAGCTCACGGGCTTGGAGTGTTGCTGAGTGAAGGCGTTGCTCTAACGCTTGGTACTTGAATATCTGGTAGCTGTCACGCGTGGGAGGTTCCCACGGAATGAGGACTGACGGATCCTGTTGTATTTGTCGTTCGATGGCTTCTTGAAGGTGATCAATTGCTTGTGTTGGCTGTGGTTCGTATGTAGTGTTGGTGGTGTCAAGTGGTGTTGGTGGTGTGTGTTGCTGGCGAGGTGTGAGGTGGGCTTGTCCCGCTGTGACAGTCTTTGATGTTGTGGTGTTGTAAATGTTCTTGGACTTGGCGATGGACCTGATTTGGTCAGCCAGGCTAGTCGGTGGTGGTACTTTGGGAGGAAGCAAAGGAGGCGGCGGAGGTGGTTGTTGATGAGGAGTGGGAGAGGTGGAGAACAGGTGTTTACCTGTGTGTTCTGATGGTAACGGTGGTGGTGGAAGAGATGGTAGTTGTGTTGTTGGTGGTGGTGGTAGTGGTGAAGTGTGGTGATGTGGTGACGTGTGTTGCTGAGAAGATGCTGCTGGTTTGTGTCCGGTGTGTGATCGATGGTTGGATTTGGATCTGTCAGTGTTTGAGGGATGTTGCCTGCGATGTGAACGATGCTGGCGTCGACGTTGTGATTGGTGTTGTGATTTTGGTGTCGTGAGTGATGTCGTTTCGTAGATTTGCGTCGGCTGTGTCGCCTGGTAGTGGATCTGTGCTTCTTGCATGTGGTGAGAGATCGCGTACGGCTGTGCTCGTTTTAATTGTCTGAGCTTGCGTTGTCTGGTGTTCTGACGGTCGTGTAGCGTGTGTATGGTACTGCCGATGTAGTGTTCTGTGCTGGAAAGACGAATGTTGAGTCCCGATATGACAACTGCATGAAGAAGTATATATACAGTGTTGGATTGACAGAACATTTGTTGCAACTGTACAAAAGTGCGAACAGACTTTAAACATGTTCTGTCAAATCTCCGATTCCATTTTCGACATGATTGTTGATGAACCTGATTGGTACACCAATGAAGAAAACAAAAACCAACTGCAACACGTAGGAATGTTCGATAAGCAACAGTGTCATAGAAATCGTCAGGTGGAAAATGTTGTAAGAATCCGAAAAACACAACGCATGCCGCCGAAAACTGTACATGATCCGGATCGCCGCGGTCTAGTCACTCTAGTATCTCTAGTTGAGTGACCGCAAACAGCGGCAGCTTGTAGAGCTCCTCATTGCGCGCCTTTGCCGCCAGCGCCACCGGCAAACCAAGCGATGCTGCTTTGTCTGCAAACGTGCT